CCGGATGGACCGAGCTGTCGCCGGCAGCTCCGTGGGGCGAACTGGTGGAGGAGGCCGCCCAGCGCGAGCTGCGGATGCCAGGAGACGACGGGCCCTGGCGCGCGGCTGCACTCCAAGTCAAAGGAGCCCGGGAGGCCCTACCACGCTACGCCCCTCTGCAGGTCGAGGGGGCGCGGCTGCTGGAGGTGGGAACCGCGTGGCCCCCCCTTGGGGAGGCATGGGAGAGCCTCGGTGGGTCGGCGCTGCTAACGCCGTGGGATGTCGGTGACCGATGGGACCCGGACGACGGGGACCACCCCGAGGACCCCGCTGGGGCCCCGCGGACCCGCTGGCTGTGCGTGTCACTATCGGAGGACCCCGGTGGACGCGAAGCGACGGGCCTGGAGCGGCTACTGATCACCACTCGGCCACTGGCCGTGCTGCTCGACGCCCCCGTCAACTACGCTGCAGTGCGACTAGGGGCGCGCTTACGGCGCCTTGGCTATGTGGCACTCTCCCCAGAGACGCGCCTACTGTGCACGCACTTCGGCGACGTCACGGCACGCGCGCGGGCGGTCCAGGTTTGGGGTTGCGGGGAACGGGTTCGGGCATCGGGCCCCGTACCCCCCCTGGGACAGCCCTGCGTGGAGCCACGCGGCCTCTGCCAGCTCTGGAAGGAGGCAGGGCGGCCACCGCTGGATGAGCTCCGCCTGGACCTCGACAACGGCACCTTGCTCGTGGACCCTCGGATCTCGACGACGGGGGATCGCATGATGCCTTGGCCGCGGGGCACATGGCAGCCCGCGGGAGGCGGGCGGGCCCAGCGCGTGGTGATTCATGATCCGCGCGGGCCCTGCCATACGGCACGGGCGAAGCCCGACCCGCTGAAGGGCTATGCGAACACCCTGATCCTGGAAGGGTCCGAGGGCGGCTGGACCGTGCGAGCCCTGCACCCGAAAGAAATCTGGTGCGCCCAGGGGGGCACGGCGGAGCTGTGGGATGCCTTGGGCCTTGGAGGTATGCCGATCGCCGAGCGCATGCGGCAGGCCGCTCGTGCACTCCCGCGTCGCACGGCCCGCTGGGTGCTCCAGTGGGCGGAGCGCCTGCTGAGGCAGGCCGTAGAGGCAGCGAGCGCAGGCGAGGCACCCGGGGCGCGCGCTGGCGTCGGACCCGATCACGACCGACTCGCTAACGACGAGATGGTTAAGCTGTGGCTAAAGGCCTGGCTTCAGGCCCCCGATCGCCCAAGCGGGCCATTCGAGGCTGCGCTGGAGGCGGGGAAGACGACGGACGACGCCGCTCGGTTGGCGGACCAGCTCGACCCCCCTGCTACCGCGCGGTCCACCGCAGCAGGGGAGGACGGGGCAGGCGGGGAGCGGGTCGGGGCGGTGACCTTCGCTGTTCCGGAAGGCGCGGGCATGCCCAGGCCAAGCGCCATGGACGGCGTGGGCGGCGCGGCCCCACCCCCGCGCAAGGCCCGTCGGCGTACCCGCAGCGCCCCTGCTCCCGCGCTGGTGAAGCCCGCCGCCTGGCGGTACGCCGGCGGGGGCGCCCCGAAAGGGATTCAAGGTGAACTCACCGACCCCCGCGAGCTGGATGCGACCGCCACCGAGGCGATGTTGGCCAAGCTTGCCGAAGGGACGCGGGCCAATTACAGCGCCGGGTGGCGTAACTGGGTACTCTGGCGGAGGCTCCGAGGCCGGAGCCCATACCTGCAGGGGGAGACTCGGGACGCCCGCCTTACGGATGAGGATGACCTCATCCGGTATGTCGTGTACCTGTACAAGGTGATGAAGAGGCGAGCCACGACCATCCGCCAGCGCCTGTTCGCCATTCGATATGCCCACACCCTGGCCGGGTTTGGGGATGTGACCTCCGATCGGCGCCGGCTCTGGACCACGATCGAGGGACTCCGCCGCTGGGACGGAAAGGCGAAACGGAAGCTGCCGGCCACGCCCCGGATGTTGCGCTGGCTCCGAGAGTACTTGTTCGCCCACGGGACGGCCACGCGCCGGGAGGCGACCATCCTATGGGCGGCGCTTATGACGGGGTACTTTTTCATGCTCCGCGCGTCGGAGTATTTGGTCCAAGAGGACCGCTCCTGGAGTATGGGACGGGTGGTGCGTGGGCAGGACGTACAGGGGATGCGCGGAGGTACACCCAGCGCAAGGCTCAGCGACTGCGATGAGGTAGTACTGACGATCACGTCGTCCAAGACGGACCAGTTTAACGCAGGTTGCGTACGCAACCATTACCGTTCGGGGGTGGAGTTGTGTGTCGTGGACGCACTCGCCGACCTCCAGAGGGAGCTGCCGGACCGGTTTGGACGAGGAACCGAGGCGGGGCTCCCCCTGTTCCGCCGGCCCGATGGCCACCCGATTATGCGGGAGGAGGTGCAGGGGCTCCTCCAACTCGCGGCTGCCGCCTGCGGTGTGGACGCAGGCCAGATGGGATCCCACTCCCTGCGCATCGGGGGCGCGACGGCGTTGTACCACGCCTGTCGCGACCTGGAAGCGGTCAAGAGGTTCGGGAGGTGGTCCACGGACGCCTTCCACGGATACCTCTGGGAGGACCATCGGCGTCAGGCTCCATTCGCCCGAGGCATGGCGGAGGGCCACGCCTTATTGGCCCCGGGCGCCCGCGGTGACGACGGCGCCGTGACCGGCGCCCGCCCCGACCAGTTGGCCGGGAGCGACCCGCCCCAGTTTGGGAGCGATCTGAGGCCCTCGGAACGCCCGGCCTGGGCGCCCGGGCGCCCCCCCTGGGCGCGCCCTGCGGCGCGAGCAGGGTCAACTACGGAGGAGGAAGGAGAGGAGGAATTGGTGAGATACGAGCCAGGGCGAGGAGTTAATGGGCGTGTGGGAAAGCAGCAGGCGGGTCCCCCGGGTATTCAGGTCAGGGCGGGGGCTTCGCGTTGTGGGGGTATCCCGGTGGACCTCTCGCCCTCGACCCCCCTTTCGCTACCGCTCCCGATCGCCCCAGGCACGCCCACCTCCTCTAGGTCCTCTCATCCGCAGCCATCTCCCACTCCAGAGCGAGGCGCGCGAGCAGCGCGCGCACCCCAGCCCCGCGCGCCAGCCGCGCCGTCGCCCCGCGCTCCGGCAGCGTGCATCATGGGATTCCTGGTGGGCCTGGTGGCCCCGGACCAGAGCAAGGCGCGCGGCCATGACTACAGCATCATGGCGGTGAACCCCCTCGGCGTCGTCGTCTCGGGGGCCGCGCTGTCGGACGAGCTCCGGAGTGCCGCCCACAACATCCTGTACACGGTGGTGAACGAGCTGGACAGCGAGGACCTCGTCGAGGTGGTCAACCACGACCACGAAGCAGCCCCGTGCATCACGGCGGCTTGCTTGGCCGCGGGGGCGAGCGAGGACCACGGCCAGCTGGTGATCGTCGACGGCAAGCGGGGTGCGTGGGGGGTGGGCGCGGGGCCGAATATCAAGGTCCAGCGCCAGGCGGCCAAGCTGGCGCTCGCCTTGGCCCAGTTCCAGGGGCAGCCCATGCCGGTGCTCCGCGAGCTCTGCAAGCACAACAAGGGGCTGCTCGACATGATGCGCACAGTGGACGCGGAGGCGGTCGTGGAGCTCACCGACGACGACGCCTCGAGCAGTGGCGAGGGGAAGTCGACCCCAGCCCCGGTCCTCGAGGCGGGAGAGGACGCGGTCACCGCGGCGCTGGCGCGTGCGGCCATCCAGGCTGCCGCGCGGCGCCAGAGCAAAGGCGCTCCAAAGGCGCGCCCGCGGCCCGCGCGGTCGCCGGGCCAGGAGCGCCTCGCCGAAGAGGTCCGCGAGCGCGAGAGGCGCCCTGCGCCCTTGCGCTCGCCCTCGCGCGCGAGGCGCCGCGATCGCGAGCGCGATGCGCCTCGCGATCGCGGGCGCAGGGGACAGGAGGAGGAGGCCGTCTTGAAACCCAAGACGGGCGGCGCCCCCCCGAAGGCCGACAACGTGAAGCGTGAGGCCGTCCAGAAGCCCAAGAGCGGGGGGGCGCCGCCGCGGTCCTTCGAGGTGAAGACCGAGGTGGAGGAGGCGCCAGGCGCGGGGGACGGTCCGCCCCAGCGCCAGCCGCGCTCGAGGAGCCGCCGTAGGCGCAAGGAGGAGCAGCGCCAGGGCGCCCAGCAGCAGCCCAGTGACCAGCACGACGAGGGCGAGTCCATCATCCGCATCGAGCGGGTACCGCACCACGTCGATGCCGAGGTGGTCAGGCAGGTGGTCGTGCCCTTCGGGGTCGTTAAACACATCGCCTTCCTGTACGACCACCGCCACAAGCGGGAGCCGTGCGTGCTGGTGGAGTTCCAGCGCCGCGCTGACGCAAAGCGCGCGCGGGAGTGCATGAGGTCGAACTATCGGTTCTACAAGACGGACCCGTGCACGGTGGTCACGGAGTGGGCGAGCCGGCCTCGCGGCCCTGACCCAGGCAGCGACGGGGAGGATGGCCCGACCATCCAGCCGCCTGCCTGCCCGACATGCGCACTCAAGATGCGCTGGAGCTCCTTTGACCCGGGAGACGGTTGGGGTTGCGAGATGTGCCCCGCGGGCGGAGCTAACAGCGGAGCCCTGCGGTGGCACTGTAAGGGGTGCGACGTGAGCTACTGCGAGGCTTGCCGCGTCGCCTTCGGCAAACCCAAGACGGCGGTGGAGAAGGCCCGGCGGAGCGGCCACACCGTGCGGGAGGCGCCGGGCCCCAGTGTCGGCCATGGCGAGCGCCCCAGCACGGGTGCCACGGGTGCGGGGGCTGAGGGGGACCGCCCGCCGGGCGACCTCAGCTGGCCCAAGCGTGAGAGGTCGCCCAGCCGCCACCGGCCCAAGCGCGAGAGGTCGCCCAGCCACAGTCTGGCGCGGGACCCAGCGTGGGCGCGGCGCGGCGACACCCCGCCCGGCCGCACGCGGCGTAAGACCGGGAAGCACGCTGGGCAGCTTCGCGCTCCTCGCGGCGGCTGGTACGAGCAGGAGAAAAAGCGGCGGCGTGCTGCCGCCGCGGAGGCTGCCGCGGGCGGGGGTGGGATCCCAGCCTGGCGTGGCAAGGGCGCGGGCGACAAGGGCGGCAAGGGCGGCAAGGTCAAGGGCAAGTACTCCGGCAAGGCCGCCAAGGGCTCCAAGAGCGGCGGCAAGGGCGACAAGAGCGGCAAGGGCGGCCACTCCAAGGGCGACCAGGGCAGCCGCGGCCGGAGTGAGCGCGACTGGCCCAGCGCGGACGGTCGCGCGTCGAGGGGCGGCGATGGCGGCAGCCCCCGGGACCCCAGTGAGCGCGGCGGAGACCGCAGCGGAGGCGAGAGCCGCGACCGCCGGGGGAACACGCCCTCCATCTAGGCGTGGAGCTCCCCCCCGTACCCCGACGCCAGCGCCCGCGGCATCGCGGGCGCGGGCTGAAGGCGGCGGCCTGTGAGTGAGCCGGCCCTCCTCTCAGCCTACCGTGCGCAGGTGGCGCCTGCGATCCTTGAGCCTACGGTGCGCAGGTGGCGCCTGCGATCTTGTTTCTTTTAGCCTACGGTACGCAGGTGGCGCCTGCGATCTCTTTCTTTTAGCCTACGGTACGCAGGTGGCGCCTGCGATCCTCCCTCTTGGAGGAGTTTAACGTTGCGCGCACGTCGCGTGCTTCCTGGACCCGGCCGTGCTGCGCGTCTTGCGCGCCGTGCGGTCGGGGCCACACTTGCGCTCTGCGCCCGGCGCCTCGTGCGCCGCCACCCTTTTCGGTTCTTTTGCGCGCATCGCGCACGCGCCGCGCCCGCGCTCTGGGTGCGCGGGCGCGGAAGGCCTCAAGGTTGCAGGCAAGTGGCCGCGCGCGCGAGGCTCTTGCAGCCTCTGATCCCGCCCTCGCACTCGGGCGGGGCGCCCCCCGCGCGCGCGGCTGCGTCTTTCTTTTCTCATGGCCGAGCGGCCGCAGGCGTGCCAGAGCGCGAGCGCGCGGGCCGTCAGGGCCCACGCGCTCGCGTTGAGCGTGGGGCCACCAGGGCCCACGCTCGGCGGAGATGCGCGTCGCCACGCTGCCATGAAAATACCATCGCCCTGTCCTGGTCCCTCTCTCGTCCCCTCCTCTCCTCCTCCTCCTCCGTTGAGTGCACGCGTATCTCACTTAACTTGTATAGTCTGATTGGTTGTAGACTGCAGGTTAAGTGGGAGGGGGTGTGGGCTCAGGTAGCCATTTTGGGTCCGTAGCGTTCGGCTCTGGCCGACGCGCGGGTGCCCACCCACCCCGCTTTGCTCCCAGACGCCTGCGTCGGCCGAGCGGCCGCAGGCGTGCCAGAGCGCGAGCGCGCGGGCCGTCAGGGCCCACGCGCTCGCGTTGAGCGTGGGGCCACCAGGGCCCACGCTCGACGGAGATGCGCGTCGCCACGCTGCCATGAAAATACCATCGCCCTGTCCTGGTCCCTCTCTCGTCCCCTCCTCTCCTCCTCCTCCTCCGTTGAGTGCACGCGTATCTCACTTAACCATGTATTGCCTACACCCGCTGGCGCATATGGGGTGGCGTGCTAGCTCAATGGGGCACTTCATCTTCCGTGACTGCGCGCTACTTCGCGGCCGAAAGAGCCCAGCTTTTTTTCCGGGACTTCGTGTGAAGAGCAATGGGAAACTTGTGCCCGTGGCGTGTTTACCGAGGTAAGCTTCAATCTCGAGCGCCTGGCGTGCGCGTCAGTGTGCACAGGGTTACGGTGAGCTCTCTTCCTCCTTCTCCTTTTGCTTCGGCGGTTAGCTGACTCCCCCCTGCGTCACTGTGATCTTGTATTCGGTACCGAGCGCCTGGCGTGCGCGTCAGTGAACGCCGGGTTATGGTGAGCTCTCCTCCTTCTTCTCGTTGTGCTTCAGCGGTTAGCTGACTCTCCCCCTCCTGCGTCACTGGGATCATGTATTAATCGGAACCGGGTGGGCAGTGCCTACTGGCTGCCGTCAGCCAGCGCCACCCCTCCCCCCATGCTGATGGCCGAAAGGGTTCAGTGGGCTCCGATGCTCGTGTCCCCTGCTTCCTATTGCCGCAGCGGTTAGCTGCCACAGCGCGTTGCCTACCGTGCCCGGCGTGCACTTCCCCTCATCTCCCTCGTTTCACCGGGTTTATCCCACGCGGCTGGGGTCGCCGCCAATACTGCTGCCCGTTGGCGCTCTGACAGCCGGAATTCCATGCATGGTTTGCACTGGGAACGGACGGTCAGGTGGCCCCTGACCTGCTCTGTCTGGTGTCGGCTTCCGCTGGCGACTGGGAGGGTTCCGTGAGGTCTCGCTTCGAATTCCATGCGTGACCGCACCGGGGATGGGCGGCCAGGTGGCACCTGGCCTGCTCCTGCTTGGTGTCAGCCTCCACTGGTGACCGCTTGGGTTCCGTGGGGACTTGCTACGGTGCCGTCCTCTTCGGTGCAAGGATTTCGGCATGTGTGACTCTGGGCGCCCGTCGGCCGCTTTCTCCTACATGGACTTCGCTTTCGACCTGCGCCACCGGGTGTGCATGCCAGAGGATCTGCCGTTTGCAGTCGTGTCTGTGACGAGACCGCCCCCTCTTTATTCTGGCGCCGACGCGATGCTGTCGTGCCACCTACGGCGCGGATGTCGCCCTGAAGTGCCTGTCGGACCTGCTCGTTTTCGTCTGGCCATATGCCGACTCACAACGGGTGGTCGACCTCTGCGTGTTCACGGTCGCGCCGCCGCGCCAGTTTGGCTGCGCCTACTTGGTGGTCGCCGCCGGGATTTCCACGCCGCCAGGTTGGGAGTGCCGCTCCTGGTGCACTTCTGAGTGGCAGCCCGCGCGCTCGCTTCGCTGGCCCCTCTTTGCGCCTGTCTTGCTTTTCCGCTTTCCGTTGTTCTGCTGCCTAGTCGTGGCCCGGCTAGAGTTTAGACGCCTTTTGACCCGCTTCACGGGGCCGCCGACCAAAAACAATTATAAGTACATGCGACCGTTAGTCGCCTCTGCGCCCCCCCATGCTCGCGCCCCTTGTCGCCCCCCCGTTTGGTGTTGGCTCTCCTGCCGGCCTCCCGCGCTCTGCGCGCCCCCCCCCCCCCCCCCTCGCGCACTTCCGCGAGCGCGGGTCGCGTCCGTGCTCTGCGCCGTGGTGGCTGGGGTGTCGCCCTCGCCCTCTTCCCACTCCGCCGTCGCCCGCTGGTCCTGTGCGCCGGCCCTCCCCGCGGCCCCCCCGGGGGCCGCCTTGGCCTCGCGCCCGCAGGCGCGCGCCCCGGCTGGGGCTGTCGGCTCGCGCCTGGCCCCGCTGGTTCGTTGCCCACCGTCGCGGTCTTCGCCGCCGGTCTAGCTCGTGGCTCCCCACCCCGTGGCGCCGAGCCCCCCCCCCCTGACCCGCGCCCCGCGCGGGCCGCGTGGGGCCCCTTCGACGCCCCTGCCCCCGCCTCTGGCTCCGGGGCACAAAGGCGCATCGGGGCCGTTTCGCTGCCGTGGCCCCCTTCGCGACGGCGCCCCCGCCCGGCGGCCTCTGCCCCGCGCAAAGGCGCCGCCTGGGCTCTTCTCTCTCCCTCTCGCCGCGCTGCGGGCGCGGGCCGCCACTACTGGTCGCCTGCCCGCTCTCTGCGGCCCTCTTCCCGCCGCGGCCCATCCGCCCGCCGCGGCTCTCGGCTTGCGGCGGCCCCCCGGCGCTTGCCTGGGGCCCGCCGGCCATTCGGTCCGCCTTTTGCAACGTGGGTGGCGTTCCCTTTTGCTCCCCGAGCGGGATCCGACACCTCAGTCGCCCTGTCGGTCTTGGCGATCCGGACTCCCGTCCGTCGAGCTCCTGCATGTCAGCTGGCTTTTTCGCTGGTGTCGACGCGCGGCTGACTGCCTTCAATCTGCTCAAGACGTGCCTGTCTCACGGTGCGAACTGCTGTTCGTCGTCGCCACTCACTCGTTCCGCCGCCGCCCACATCGGCTTCGACGCACCTGAAGGCTTGTTCCCCTTGCAGGGATGCATCGCCCTGGCCGCGCTCAGCCCCCCGCGTGCTGTCCTCCGTGCAGGCGCAGGCGCAGGCGCTTGCGGCCCGCTATCTCCCGCGGGGTTGCCCTTCGCCGCGGTCACGGGATACCACGCTGCCAGCTAATTACCTGCCGCTTTGGCGTGCACCTCCGGCGGTTGCTAGCTGCCGATGGCACCCCCTCCGTGAGCGCCGAGCGGCCCGCCCCGGCTAGTCTCACCTCCCGCTGTTCTCTTGTTGTCTCTCTTCTCCTTTCTTTCGGTGCAATTTAGGCTCCTGCTGGTTAGGTGTAGCTTTGGACGGCGCGCGGCCCTTCCGCTTGCGCTCGCGATCAAAAAATCCCCACCAGCCCACTCGGAAGCCCTGCCCACGAGAGCTGACAGGAAGAGGAACGCAGGGACACACTTAGGGAAATAACGCGAGCAACCAGGATGAACCGAGATCTCTTTGGGAGCAAGGGGGTGGCCTTGGAAGGCCTCCCCGGGCCATCCCTGGGGGCCGCGTGGGGGCGACGGGAAGAGGAGGAAGAAGAGGAGGAGGAGGAGGTGGAGGGGTCCAAAGAGAGTGATCACTGGTGCTGCTGATGTTGTTGCTGCCTGTGCTGGTGCTGCGGCTGGTGCCCTGGAAAGCCTGTTGGGGCCATCGAAGAGAGCATCGATCAAAAGATAAAAAGGGGGTCCTCGATTTCGCCCCCCTCCCAGGAGCCTTCAAAATCGCGTCTTGGAGCTCTCCTGGGGATATTTGGGAGGGTCTTGGAGCTCTCCTGGGGCTCTTTTGGGGGTCATGGGGCCCTCTTGGGGCCCTGTTGGGGCCCTCTTCGGGCTTTCTTGGGGCGCTCTTGGAAACCCTGGAAGGCCTCTTGGGGCCATCTTGAAGGCCATCGATCAAAGGAGGATATGTGATAACGCTCAGCTCCCCCCAGAAAAGCCAAAATGGGGCCACAAACTTTGGTAAGACCAGTCATTTTGGCGCCCAGAGGGCTGGTGGGATAACGTTCAACCCCACCCCAAAGAGGCCAACATGGGGGCCAAAACCATTGTAAAACCAATGATTTTGGCGCCCAGACGGCTCGTCGCCCAACGTTCAGTCCCCCCCAAAGAGGCCCAAATGGGGCCAGAACTTTAGTAAAACCCGTCATTTTGGCTTCCTCGCCGAGGCCGTTGTGGACGCCATGGCACTTCGCGGGCCCCCCCAAAAAGTCCAGGGGAGGGGTAATGGGAGGAGTAAGACCCTTCCCCGTAGGGGAAGAAGGTTTTTTGGGGAAGAGGGACGAGGAGTCGCGTTGGACCACCTGCGCCCAGAGGGCTGGTGGGATTTTCTGAGCCTCCCGAAGGCACAGAAAGTCTTTCAGCACGCCGGAGGTTTTCTGAGAAACCCCGCCGCCTTAGACATGTCTTGAATCGAGATAAATCATTCTCAGAGCGTTCCAGAACGCTCTGAAACGACCGCGGCGCCCGATTCATCCTCGAAACCCGCCGATTCTCAGAGATTCCCGAGATATATCGGTTTGATGTTGTCGCTATTATGGCTTCGTCGCAGCCTTCTGAGACGGCCTTCTCCTTCTCACTGCCCCCCCTCGCTCGCCGACGACAAGAGGCGTCGGCCACGCGCAGGGGGGTTAGGGAGAGGGGGGAGGGATTCTTTGCAGAACCCTTGCCCCTTAGAAGGCGCAGGCCTTCTCTGTAGACGTAAGGCCGGCGCCTTCTAAGGAGCAGCCTCCTTCTAAGCCTTCCCCTCTCCCCCTACCCCTTTTATGCGCGCAGCCAAAGGTGGGGGCGGGGAGCTGGGGGGATACCAGCGTCTGCTGCGCGCAGCGGGTCCCGGCGCCGCCGCCGTGCCCTCGACGCGTGAGGCGCTCCAGGAAGGGCCGTGCCTCCGAGGATCGAAACCGTTGCCATCTCTTCCTCTCGGCGGCGAGCGAAGGGGGGCAGTGAGAAGGAGGAGGCCTTCTCAGAAAGCGGCGGGGCCTCTCAGAAACCCTCTGGCCGTCTGAGAGGTTTTCTGCGCTCCCTTTGGAAGGCTCAGAGGGGACTTCCGAGCCCTCCAAGGGACTTCCGAGCCTTCAGCAGGCCAGGGGGACTTCCGAGCCTTCTGGGACGGCCCGCCCCCTCTCACTTCCACCCCGGGCGCGCCGCCCGCCCTCGGCGGAAGGCGGCGGAAGTCGAACGAAACCTCGACGGCTCAAGCGAAATGAGCGTGTTCAGAAGCGTGCTGGGTCGCAAGTCCCAGCCCGACACCCGACCCCTTCTCCCTTCCCACTGCCGCCATGGCCTGCGCCGCGAGGCGCTCTTGAACGGGGAGTTCGCGAACCTGACTGAGGTCGGCGAGGTGAGCGCTGGGCTGCGGCACCACAGCCCTGGACCTGGAATTTGTGATCGACTATGCCGCCAGCGGCTTCCAGGAAGCAAGTGCACAGGGGAGGCAAGCGGGCTCTGAGACGAGCCGCGCGAGCGTTGCAATTAGACGGGAGCGTGTGATACTTTGGCAGGAGGTATACTCGAGCCGCGGCAGCCGCTCTCTTCCCATATTACCATCAATTGATGGTTCAGACTGCCCATGGCCCTACTTCATCTTCCTCCACTCCGTTGAGGTCGACACCCGCTCGACCCCTCTTGCACGAGACGGCCACCAGCGCCGCCAAGTACCATCAGCGCCAGTGGCGCCGCGCCCATCGGGACCAGCAGCTGATCAAGATTTGGACGTACAATTGCGAAAGCCTACTCAGAGCTGATCGCCGTGCCGAGATCCTTCGACTCGCAGGCGAAGCCAAAATGGCCACTATTAGCCTACAGGGTACCCTGCTGGAGCTCGCTATCCCTTGGACTACCGAAGGCTACAGAGTCATCCCGATGCCGCGCACGACTAGGACCAGTAGAGATGGCTGTTTGATAGCATTCAACCTGCGTTTTTTCTCTTTGAGCGAGCTCCGCGTCACCCACACATGGATGGATGGACGACTACAGGGTATTCGTTTCACTCGCAAAGGCCCTGCTGAACGTGATCTTTATGTGATGAATGGATACGCCCCGCTGAACGAGGTGAGCCGCGCCAAGATCGGCGCCGACCATCATGAGAAGACGGCCCAACATCGCCAACTCCAGTTTCAGTTCTGAGACACGTGCCACGTGGCCCTCCGTCAGATCCCCCAGAGAGTGACCTTGCTCCTCACCCTGGACGCCAACGCTGCCATGTCCCCCTCACAGCCGCATGTCGGCTTTGCTGGCCAACGACGCCTGTATGCAGCCACCAACACCAACGGCTCGCGCCTCCTGGAAGTCCTAGGGGACTTCCACATGACGGCCCTCAACACGTTCGGCAAGAGCACGCGCCAAAACGGCACCTGGAAGCACACGACTGGCAAGGGATGGGCCACAATCGACTTCATCTGCACCCGCCTGAACGGCTCCTACGGCATCCGAGCGGCCCGTCTGCGGACAACTCCTGTTAGCATGGGAGGCTACCGCGACCACCGACCTGTCGAAGCCCTCGCGTATGCTGGACTGAGAGCTAAGCGGGCTGCCGAACCCCGACCTGACCGATGGAACCGCGAGGCCATGGCACGCGACTTGCAAGTCCTGAAGGACCCAGATGCGTCCGCCCCAGCCCACGTCGCACAGACGCGGGCAACTCTGGACAACCGTCTACGAGAGCAACATTTCACAGGCCACTGGCAGGAGGAATGCGGCGAGATGCTCTGCTACGCCACGCCCTCGGAGTACTTCAACGCCATCGAGCACGCGGTCATTGAGGCAGCGGCCCCGCACTACGTCCTGAAGCCCACGCAGACCCAGCGCCCCAAGCTGACGGACGCCACCCTGGCCCTGATCGCAAACAAGCACGCCATCCAGAAGCGCATGGCCTACTGCTCCGACCCGTCGTCGCCCCGCGCTGTCTACCTCCAGACCCAGTGCGCCGAGGCGGCCAAGCGCGCCGCCAAGGCTGTCCGAGCTGAGCGACGCCAGCGCTCGGCGTCCACGGCTGAAGAGGCGGAGACGGCAGATGCGAACATGAACCTGCGCAAGCTCCACAGCGTCACGCGCCGTCTTGCTCCAAAGCCCGCGGCCCCAGTCATCGCGGTCGCCAACCCGACTACGGGCGGTGCATGCATGGGCGCCGAGGAGGAGACCGCTGTCCGCGCAGAGGGTCTCTGCAACATCTTCGACGGCACCCAGATCAACATGGACAGCCCAGGAGGCCCCATCGGCATCCTCCCGAGGGACGACGCCCGCATAGGCACATGCACAGTCGATGACGTGACCAGGGCCATTGCCAAAATGCCTAACTACAAGAGCGCTCCTGCCCTCAAGTTGCCACCGCTGGGCGCGGCCGGAGATCTCGCCGCCACCGGTGCACAGTCGACCTTCCAGGCTGACGGGTCCGTCATCGAACTGTGGAAGCTCTGTGCCGCTGAGACGGCCCCAGTACTCCACGGCGCCTTCCAGGCGTGCCGGGCTCTCGGCCACGCGGCTCAGCGCTTTAAGGGTGGCGAGACTGTCTCCCTGCGCAAGCCGAAGGGTGATGGCAAGAACGCCAAGGGCCAGTGCAAGGCCATCAACCTCATCAACCACATTGGCAAGGTTTAAATGACGTCACCGCGATGCCGCCCCTTCGCAACCTGGCGAGCAAGCTCTCTTACGCGCAGTTCGGCGCGCTGGCAGGCCGCTCTACGAGGGGCGCTATCGCGATCGTGGCCGAGGTTATCCGACGCTACCGGCTCCACGGCCGCGCCGCGCGTCCAGGCTCGGCTCTGCGACGGTCCCAGGCATGCTCGTGGCAGTCCTGATCGATGTGGAAAAGGCCTTCGACTTGATTGACCGCGATGAGATCTGGCAGGCCCTCGAAGCCCTTGCAATGCGACTGGAAGTGCGTCTGGCCGTTGAGGGGCTCCACGAGGGCACATGCAACGTTGCCAGGGACATCCGCACCAATCGCCCCATCCGCAAGCTACTCGTTCCACGCGGAGTTCGCCAGGGGAGTGTGGAGGGCCCTATGCTGTTCGTTGCTGTCTATGACCTTCTCACTCGCAAGCTTGAGGAAAGCCGGCGTGACTCCGAGTTCCCCGAGATCACCATTACCTTCGACCCCAATTTTCGCAACCTTCGTCACCGTCGCGGGCTGTTGAGAGGAGAAGGAGAGGAGGTGCTCGAGGTGTCCCCTGTCAAATTCGTTGACGACCTGATCGCCCTTACTATCGTTGAAGATTTCGATGCGGTCTCTCGGTTCCTGGAGTTCCTCAAAACGGAAATCACTAAGGGCAAGATGAAGGTAAATGACACCAGATTTGAAGGGCTGATCGTCACGACTGGCAAGCAAAGCAAACGCAGACGAGCCGCGATCCGATCGAAGCGAACGGACATTCGAATGCAGCAGACCCCAGTCCATGCCGCGCCCAGTGTGAAGTACCTAGGCACCAAGCAGCGCGACGATGACAGCATGGTGGAGGAGGTTACTCACATAATCCAAGGAGCTAACGCAGCACACGCACGCCTTGCACTTCGAGTCTTCAAGGTTCACTTTAGTGTACGTCTTCGAGTTAGGCTGCGGTGCTCCCTGGTCCGTTCGTCTTCACTGTGCGGCCTTGAGGTGGCAGCCCTGAGTAAGAGGGACCTCAACCGCATAGAGCACTGGCAGACTCGTAAGCTACGCTGCTCGGCACGCTCTCCTGCCCATGTCCATCGCGTGAGGAATGCTGAAATAAGGCGTACAACGCGAGTCCCGACGGTGGCGTCTACGTTGCTTGAGCGGCGCCTAGCGTGGTGGCAGGGCGTCCCGCGTCCCGCGTTCCCCGACTTGCAGCAGAAAAATCAGCCCGAGGACTCCGAGCAGGGCCCTGAGGACCCCGAGGCCCAGTGCGACCCCACGAAGTTGATTCAGGCGGTAGTCTTCGGCAGGTTGAACTTCGAGGGGCCCAAGCATACGGAAATCAACTCGTTGCTCGGCGCCCTCCAGGAGGACCTCAGGAAGCTCTGGAAGGTCACCGCCCCAGTAGCCCAACAGCAGGCCCGTGCGGATCAGAGGGGCAGCTGCGAGCCCTGAAGTGCCCCCACTGCTTGATCAAGCACAGTCGCAAGGATGCCCTGGTCCGCCACTATCGCCTGCAGCGCTGCCGTGCTCCACCGTCGACCACCTCGGCTCAAGCGTGTGAGCCAGCGGGGCCCGAACCGCCAGGACCTGCCCCTCCTGCCCCGCGGCAAGAGTCGGGCGCTCATGTGGAACCTCGAGAGCGCGAAGCAGTGGACGAAGCCGAAGATCGACCTGGTCCTCCCCGAGGACACGACCGAGTTGGACGCGAGCGACAAGCCCCAGACCCTCAGGTGCCGCCTGGAGCTCCTCTGCGAAGCCGCCCACCAGCTGCTCGCCCGAGACGACAACTTCGCGCTGACGGTGGCGGAGGGATCGGAGCTCGAGAAGACTCTGGAACGCGGCTACCAGACCACAGTGACCAAACCCGCGCGCGGGGTCCCGCACGGACTGCAGTATGTCACGACCCTCTGGATGACCGTCCTTCGCAAGGCCGCGGTGCAGCCGATCGTGGAAGATCCCGCTCAGCCCGACCAGGTGGAGCAGCCAGCCGAGGTGCCCATCTCGACCCAGATCGGCACAGTGGTCACCAAGGTCGTCCGCAGCCATCAGACGGCGAGCCTGGACATGGTCGCGGACGCTCTCAAGAAGTTCATGGGCGCCCCAGCAGCGAGCTCCGCCGACGGCGCCAGCAACCGCATCGAGGAGAACCAAGTACGCTGGATCTGGGCACCAACCATCCACATCGATCTCAAGTACGCTCTGACGGCGGTGCACGTGCACGAGGACATTCCCGAGCTCTCCATCCAGCAGCCCCCGCCCCCCCCCGAAGCAGGACGACGAGCTCGAGGAGCTGCTCGCCGCCGAAGCGACCGCCAAGAAGCCCGAGACCGAGTAGAGGCACAACATCCTGGTTCTGCCAGGTTCGACGTCACCACAGTTTTGCCAGACAGACGGGCTCGCCTCCAGCAGGCCCAGCCATCGATCGCAGAAATATCCAAGCGCCAGCGCACATCCTTTACCAGCTCTGATGGGCCTTCAGCACCACCAATGGCGACCTCTCGTGCAAAATCATCATCGTGAATGCGAGCGGCCGAGGGCGGACGCGTATGCTACCTCGACGTGCTGGGGGCCGTAGGGTAGAACTCGTTCGTCGCTGTGCTCATGGGTGTTCAGTGAGGCCCCGCCCGCTGCCGCCGCCGCTGCCCCCGTTCTCCTCCTCCCTCGTGGGCCCGTCCCGTCCCCGTCTTTGAGCTTTGAAAAGTTTTTGGGGTGAGTGGCCTCCGAGACCCCAGAGGGGGTCGAGGGGCCGCTCTCGCAGTGCCGCCTCCGCATGGGGCGGGAGCGCGTGAGGGCGCGGCCAGAGCTGCTCTTGCCCTGTGCTCGCGCCCCTCGTCTCGGGCCCTCTCGTCTGAAATGCAGTATTTTAGATGCGCCGATTTCGGTAGGTTTTGACTTTGGCCCCTCACGAAGCGTCCGCCCCGAAGGTAGTTGGGCGCAGTGCTGTGAAAAAAAGGAAGTCGAACGAGGCCGCCTCCGCCGGCGGAAGCAAAACATTGCCTCCCAAGGTTTGGCCTCGCTCGGACGTGTGCATTTTTTTTTGGGGGGGGGCGAGGACCAGCAACGGGCATCCGGGGTCATCGAGCAAAAAAACCACGCACGAAACTGAGAAATGCCCAGGGATTAGGGCTTTTGGGTTCAGGGTTTCCAGAACCCGCCACGTGGTCGCCTCCGACGGCCGGGAGGCGCTGGGAAAATTAGCTGCGCGCCGCTGATTCGGGACCCCCCCCCTTTCCTGAGCAGGCGAAGAGCGGTGTGAAAAATTCATGCTTCCGCCAGGGGGACGTCTGTTCCAGGGCGGCTGGGAAGCTTATACCTCTGCGGTGGCAGGTGTGGGCACACAATGGGACCTTTGTTGGATGTTCTTGTGAACCCTGGGGGAGGGCACCCTTGGATGTTTTGCGCGTGTATGTGTGTGTGTGTGTGTGTGTGTTTGTGTGTTTGGCCGACTGAGGATCTCGTGTCCTTGAGGGATGTTCTTCTGTCCTGTGTTCGACTGTACTCCTTCCAGCCGCCCTGGGACCGGCGTCCCCGATCGCGGATAAGCTTATGTCATGCCGTTCTCTGCCCGCTAGCTTTCCCTTTCCGCCCCCTCTGTCGCCCGACCCGTTCCCATCGTCGTCTGCCTCGCCGTCGGCCTCGCCTGGGCCGAGCGGAGGATCTCGGCCAAGAGCGCGCTCGGCCTGCTCTTCAACACGGCCTTTGCCACCCTGGGTTTCCTCTACCTGCTGCACGCAGTGATGCCTGGGCACCTCGACCCCTTCTGGGGCAGCATCGGCGCCGCGCTCGCCGCGCCCAGGAGGGTGGCGGGCGCGCTGTCCAGCAGCGGCCTTGGCGGGCTGGACGCCGCGGGCCTCGGCGGGGCCTGGAGGCCGATGCTGTGGGGCAGCCTCTGGTACCTGACGGTCTGGAGGTGGGCCGTCCGGCTGTGCTGCATCAGGGCGTTTATGCTCGAGAGCCTGCCCGAGTGGCAGGACATGAACGGGCTCAGCGTCTTCTGGCTGTACGGGCTGTACGGGCTGCTCGGGTCGACGGTCTCGCTGTTCGTGGCCGTCAGCGCTCTGTTCACGACCTGGCTCAAGACCTGCCCGCTGATGCGGCCGGTTTGGCTCTATCTGCACAGTTGCATCTGGGCACTTGGCGCTTGCTTGAGCTCCGAGAGAGGCCATGCTCCGAAGTCGCTTAGACTGGACCAGTGCTTTGGACTGGTGATGCTGGCCTGGTACTTGCTGGCGCAGTTGTTGTGGACACCGCCGCTGGGTTCGAAGTTCGACGAGGAGGCTTTCCTAGAAGCAGTGATGGAGAAGGGCGGCTTCCAGGCAAAGATGGAGAATCGGAGCCCCAGTGGCCCACTGGCTCGGAGCCTCAGCGCCAACCCAGTGGTGCGGAAACTCAGCAGTGCCATTTTGAATGTGGAGGCCAAGGACGTGGAGAGTAAGCGGGAAGCGCTGAAAAAAGGCAGTATCAAGAGCCATGGCGGCAAAGTCGCCCTCAGCTTCAGACTGGGGCCCGTTGTTCGTGAGGACCTGCTTGAGACTAGCCTGAAGCTTCTCCGGAAGGCCTCGGTGGGACAGCTGCTGAGCAGCCGCTTCAGCGTCCACTTCCAGGGCGAGTGGGGCGTTGACTGGGGCGGCCTCACGAGCGACTGGTTCGACAGCCTCGCGAAGGCGCTTGTCAAGGGCAGCGAGCACCGCGAGCGCAGGAAGCAGGAGTCCGACGACCTTTTCTCCTCCTCGCTCCTCGCCCGCGCCACCGACGGCACCCTGCTGCCGCGGCCGAGCGGCTACACCCGCGCCTGCAGCGACGCCCCCGAGCGACTGCAGGAGCGGTGGGCGCGGCTCGCCGCCGTCGGGCGCTTCCTCGGGGTCGCGGTGCTGAAGGGCCGGCCGCTGCCGCTGTCCTTCGGGCAGGTGCTCATGAAGCTGCTCTGCGCGAGGGACGTGTCCTACAGCGACGTGCGCCACCTGGACGACGACTTCTACACGCACCGCATTCTGAAGAAGAAACAACGGCACAAGCATCAACTTTTAGAGGTCCGCGCGGGTTTCTTGGATCGGCGCTGGCCCCCCCCTGGCGGCGCCTTGGGCGCCGCCCCCGACGCGCTCCGCGCGCCACGGAGGGGGGTCCCGCGTTGATCCAAGAAATCCGCGCGGACCTCCGACGAAAGCTTATGTGTATGCACTTATCTCTTCTTCCGGCATCGTCGGCCTCCTGGAGGAGGGCGGGGTGGAGAGGGCCAGCGCGGCCCTCACGGAGCCACTGACCTTCGTGTCGGCCCCCACGGAGCTGATGCCCGAGCAGGTGCCACTGAAGGAGGGTGGCCACCAGACCCTCGTGACGGAGGAGAACAAGATGGAGTATATCGAGCTCCTCTCGGAGGCCCGCATTTGCAACGGCCGCCGGCACGAGCTCCAGTTCTTCATCTCAGGGTTCCACGAAGTGATCCCGGTGGACGTGCTGACGCGAGCCAAAGTCAGCCCCGCGGAGCTGTCGCTGCTCATCTCGGGCGTGCACGAGTACGACGTGGACGAGTGGAGGCACCACGCCCAGCAGGAGGGCGACGACCAGGTCCTCGGCTGGTTCTGGGAGGCGGTCGCGTCCTTCTCCACGGAGCAGAGGGCCCTCCTCCTGAGCTTCAGCACCGGCAGCTCACGGATCCCCCCTGGGGGCTTCGAGAACCTGGAGCCCCAGTTCTGGGGCCCCCCAAAGGGTGTGGTGACCACACCGTGTGGTGAGTCAGTGTCGATTCGGGGTGATTTGGGACTCGGGTCGTTCCCCGAGGAGGTCTCGGACACTTGGGGCCTCCAGGGCCACAAGACCGTGCGGTGACGGACCGTGCGGAGAGGTCTCTTGGGATGCCGAGGTCACCGCGGGGTCTGTCACCACACGGTTTTGGGACTCCTAAGAAGGTTCCGGGTCTGCACCACGGGTGAGCACCAGGACCGCCTGCCCAGCTCGGCGGCGTGCGCAGGGGGGCGGGGAAGAGCGAGAGAGTGGCGGCCTTCCAGGAGTCGAGGAAGCGCAAATATGGAGCGATGTTCGTGGATTGGCGACGGGTCCCGCTGCCGTGCAGAATCGGCGTGTTACGTCGCCAAATGAGGCGGCGTTGGCACCAAGCGCCAGATCCACGGATGGGTAATCCATGTTAGCGTGCTCCCGGAAGGCGGCATGAGGGGGGCTTCTGAAGCCCGCCTGGCCAGTTGGCCCAAGGCCTTTGCCTTTTCGGCCGTGGACTTCCCTGCCGATCTTTTTCCCCAGACTTCCCTGGACTTCCCCTGGACCTCCGAGGACGTGACCAGATTTGCCATCCCAATATCTTATTTTATTGTGCAGCGAAGACCTTGCGCCAACTGTCAGGTGACGAGAGTGCCACATGCACACCGACCCCGGCCAGGCCCATCCTGGACCCAGGTCGCTGTGTACGCTCCCCTGGCCAAGCCAGAAGGGCGTATGTACCGCGCCTGTGCCCAGGATGGGCTCAGCCAGGATGGGTGTAGGTGCACACCTGGCGCGCACCTCTCGCCCATGTCCCAATCCTCGGCACGCCGCCAGCCAGCGCCCACACGTGCTTCAACCAGCTCGACATCCCGAAGTATGGCTCCAGGGAGCTGCTCGTGGAGATGCTGCTCCTGGCCATCAGCGCCGACTCGGGCTTCGGCTTCGTGTGAATCCTGGGCTTTTTGCCCGTCGCCCTGTGTCTGAGGGACAGCCTGCGCCGCCAGCGCTTCGCGACACCCTCGGCTCAGCGATATCTCGGGGGTGCGCCAGGCAAGGAAAACAAAACTGCATAAATACAAACTCTCGCAGGTCCGCGCGGGCTTCTTGGATCGCAGCTGTGCCTCCGAACGTTTACATTTGTGCCGTTTTCTGCTCCTCGAGTCGGGTGGATGTATTTTCCCGCGGCTGCAGATGCGGGGAGTTCCTCGGACAGTGCCTTGCCTGGACGACGAGGCCCTACCAACCATGCCAGGGCCACGTGGCCTGGGCCATGCGGCCGCCTCAGCCTGCAGCTCGCAGCGCTTCACGGTAATTAGGCCTGCGAGCGGGGGGAGGATGAGGAGGAGGATGAGACGGAGAAGGGCGAGGGGGGCTGCTGTTGCAGATGTTGTTACTGCTGATAATGCTGATGATCAGTGTGAGTAGGATGATGAGGATGCTGATGCTGATGCTGATGCTGATGCTGATGCTGATGCTGATGACGACGATGCTGACGATGATGCTGATGATGATGCTGATGATGCTGATGATGATGATGCTGCTACTGCTGGTTATGATGATGCTGCTGATGCTGATGATGATGGTGCTGACGATGCTGATGACGAGGATGATGAAGATAAAAGGTAAATGATAAGGATGATGACGTGGATGATAAGGATGCGGATGAGGATGCTGATGGTGGTGATGATGATGATCACGGACCTGATGATGTTGATGATGATGTTGATGATGCTGATGATGCTCATGATAATGATGATGCCGATGTCGATGATGCGGATGATGATGCTGATGCTGATGCGGATGTCTGATGATGCTGCCGACGATGATGGTGATGCTGATGGTTATGATGCTGATGCGAACGATGCTGCTGATGCTGATGCTCATGCTCATGCTGATGCTGATGACGACGATGCTGACGATGATGCTGATGATGATGCTGATGATGATGCTGATGATGATGATGCTGCTACTGCTGGTTATGATGATGATGCTGATGCTGATGATGATGGTGCTGACGATGCTGATGATGAGGATGATGAAGATAAAAGGTAAATGATAAGGATGATGACGAGGATGATAAGGATGCGGATGAGGATGCTGATGGTGGTGATGATGATGATCACGGACCTGATGATGTTGATGATGATGCTGATGATGTTGATGATGCTCATGATGATGATGATGATGATGATGATGATGATGATGATGATGATGCCGATGTCGATGGCGCGGATGATGATGCTGATGCTGATGCGGATGTCTGATGATACTGCCGACGATGATGGTGATGCTGATGGTTATGATGCTGATGCGAACGATGCTGCTGATGCTGATGATGATGAGTATGACTTCGATGATATTAATGCTGCTGATGATGATACTCATGCTGCTGATTAGGTTGATGATGCTGCTGATGATGTTATTGATGATGCTTATGATGATGATGATGATGCTGACGAGTATGGTGATGCTGAGGATAATGATATGATGATGGTGACGACAATGGTGATGTTAATGATGTGATAATGATGATGACGACAATGATGATGATGATGGTTATGATGATGCTGATGCTGATTCTGATGATGGCGATGATGATGCTGCTGATGATGCTGATGGTTATGATGATGGTGATGGTGCTGCTGATGATGTTGATGATGATGATGATGATGATGATGATGATTACGATGATGATTATGGTGATGATGATGATGCTGCTGATCATGCTGAGGATGATGCTGCTGATGACGATGATGATGGTGATGATGATGATACTGGTGGTGGTGATAGTGATGATGATGCTGCTGCTGATGATGCTGATGATGATGGTGATGATGCCGATGATGCTGATGATGATGATGATGCTGCTGATGATGATGATGATGCTGATGGTGATGATGATGATGATGATGATGATGATGATTCTGCTGCTGCTGATGATGATGATGATGGTGATGATGCCGATGATGCTGATGATGATGATGCTGATGATGATGATGATGCTGATGGTGATGATGATGATGATGATGATGATGATGATGCTGATGATGATGATGCTGATTATGATGCTGATGGTGATGATGATGATGATGATGATGATGATGACTGTGGTGGTGATGATGATGATGATGATGATGATGATGATGATGATGATGATGATGATGATGATGATGATGATGATGATGATGATGATGATGATGATGATGATTCTGCTGCTGCTGCTGCTGATGATGATGATGATGATGATGATGATGATGATGATGATGATGATGATGATGATGATGATGATGATGATGCTGATGCTGATGCTGATGCTGATGCTGATGATCGGGTAAGGCCATTACGGTCTGGGAGCGGTGCTCGGCGCAGCCGTGATAAATTATCGTGAACACCCACGGAGCCCTCAGGCCCCACCGACGAGGGGAGGGAGGGGGAGGGGAGTGTTCTGTATCGCTCAGCGGCTCGGGCCTCCCGCCTCCGAGCCGCTTCCTCGCGAGCGGCTGCGCGGGCGCCTCAGCGGCTCGGGGCGGCCGCCCCCGAGCTCGGCGCCAGCACCCCCCCGCGTGGGGTGCCGCCCTTGCCGCATCCTCGCGCACGGGCCGCGCAGCGAGACCACGCGGGCGCCGTCCGCGTAGCCTCCGCAGACCGCGCAGAAGACGAGGCGGCGCGGCCCCTCGCCTATCGTCCAGAGGCTGTGCGTCTCGTCGAAGCTCACGTTCCACTAGCGCGGGCGGGCGCCCGCGGCCTCGGCGCCTTGCGCACCTTCGGCGCCTGCAGCCTCGCCGCTCTCCTCCGCGTCGCCGTCGGCGTGCTGGGCTCCTCCGCGGGCCTGGGCCGCCAGCGCCACTGCTGCCACCGCGGCTGCGGCGGCTGCTCCCGCGCCCTCGGCGCGTCGTCGGCCCGCACTCGCGGTGGTCCGCGTGCGGCCGCGCCGCGCATCAGCCTCCTGACCAGGGGCCTGGCGCTTCCGCCCCGCCATCTGGGGCCCAGGCGGCCCACCGGTGGCGCTCCCCGCCGCTGCCGCCGCCGGCCCCACTGGGGACGGGCGTGCCGTCCGATCGGCCCGCGCAGGCGTCGCAGAGCCAGCGCGTCCCGATCACGTCCGAGACCGCCGTGCCGAGCGCGCTGCAGGGCCAGCGTCTGCAGCCTGGCCCGCCGTCGCGGCAGCGCGCGGCGCCCCGCCGCCCGCATCCGCGCCCGCAGCAGGTGGACTCCGCCGCGCCCGCGTCCGCGCCGTCGGCCGCCGTGAGGGCGGCGCTCCCCAGCTGCAGCGCCCCGCCGAGCCAGCGGGCCGTCGCCACCGTGATCGTGTCGGCCAGCTCGATGCGCTCCACCGCCGCCTCGCTCGTGGGGTGGAGCCCCGCGCCCTTCTTGGCGAAGCCGTCCGCGGCGCGGTTGCCCTCGTAGTCGTCCATCCTGGTGTAGCCGTCGCGGACCGAGCGGAGCGTGGCGTGCCCCTTCACCTTGGTGACCCGCACGTACTGCTGGCCGCCGAAGCCGTCCACGGCCTGCCAGAACTCGCGCCGCACCTCCAGGTACGGGCGGTCCCACGCACAGCACCAGGCCTTGCCCACGGCGAAGCCCGTCACGAGCAGCTTGCAGTCCGTCCTGACCTCGAGGATGCCGTCCGCACCTGGCAGGCCCCAGCGCAGGGCGCGGGCTGCAGTCGGGATCTCGCCCGCGTTCGCGTCCTGCGGCAGGTGGGCGGGGACGCAGCCCCAGGCGCCGTGCGCTGCACCGCGGACCTGCAGCGTCGCGAGCCCCCCAGCGCGCACCTCGGGCGACCCCGCCTTGCCGTGCATCGCCGAGCCGTCGGTGTACAGGACGCTGGCGCCCGCCAAGGCCGCGTAGCCTCCTCGGACTCCAGCGGCGGCGGGAGCGCGGCCACCTGGTCGGGGATGAGCGCCCTCGAGTAGCGGGGGTCCTCGCTGTCGCATGCCTCGGCCGCGTCGGCGAAGGCCTGCAGCACCTCGTCGCCCGCCATGGCGTCGCGCCTCTCCGCTGCAAGGGCGGGGCACCTCCAGGCGAGGTGCCGCACCGTGCCGTGGCCGCCGCACCCTGCGGGCGGGGCAGGTTCCCGAGCGGCACAGCGGCGGGTCGAGGGCGGCTCGGCGGGCCACTGGCCAGAGCCCGCCGAGCGCCGCGTTTCGGGCGCTGGACCACCGCGCCCGCTGCTCGGGGGTCGCCTTGGCGGCGAGCAGCCGCCGTCGGAGGCCGCGGGCGGCTGCGCCGCTGACCACGTGCTCGAGGTCCTCGTCGCGAGCCGCGGCCTCGCGCCGGAGCCACCGCTGGTGCGAGTCGCGGATGTGCCTGCCTGCGGAGCGTGTTGCCGCCGATCTCCTCGAGCTTCAGCGTCGTGCCGTCGTCCACGGTCCAGCGGTGCATCGCCGTGGAGCTCCAGCACAGCCGCTCGAGCGCGAGCAGCGCCGCCGCCGCGGGGCCGCGCCCCGCCAGAGCGCCAGGCCCCTGCTCGAGGCGAACCTGCGCGGCGTGCCGCCACGCCCACAGCATGTCGTTGGTGGTGTCGGGGTGGTCCCGCGCGAGCCCGCGGCCCCAAGCCAGGAGCGCCTGCTCGGCCTGCGAGCACCAGGGGTCGCGCCAGGGCGCGGCGGCCAGCGCGAGGCCCACCTGCAGCGAGCGGCCCCGCGTGCTGCCGAAGGTGAGGGACCCGACCGCCGACCGCCACTGCTCGAGCTCGCTCGTGGTCCAGGCCTGGGTGCAGCAGCCGTAGGCCGTCGTCGGGAGGAGGCCGCCCACGAGCAGGCGCATGGCCGGGCTGATGGACTGGCGTCGCGCGCCCGCCACCCGCCCGAGCTGCTCGCGGGCCTTGGCGTGCCGCTTCCTCG